AGCCCATCCCTCTGGTGCCCTTGCTTTGGAGACCTGGCTACAGACTCCCACCCTTAGCCCAGGGAGACCAGGCAGGTAGTGGAAGGTTTGGAGTTCACAGATAGCAGTAAGGACTGAAACAGAGTTGCAGCTTGAATAAAATCCACATGTTGGGTACTGCACCAGTACCTTCAAAGACATGAAGTCTTCTTTGTCCTTTACCCAAGAGTGTAGGTGATTCCAACTCACAGCCTCAGTTGGAGACCCAGTAGCAATGAAAGTCATTGAAGTTGTCAAGCACAAAGGTGTCTCATCATGATTTTCAGATTCAAGAGCAGATTCCCTGAGCTGGATAGAAGAGGCAGGTCAAGGGCCTCATTGGTAGGTTCTAAGTTAGACATGAACATAATGGCAAGGGCTTTATTTTCTTCCTGGAGGATGGGAAGAGAGAATTCCTAAGATTTCCTCATTAGGTGCACGTGGTTTTGCTAGTAAAAGAGCCAAGAACAGGAAAGGGAGTAGGGTGGAGAATCTACCAGGTAGCAACCCTGGAGGCAGACAAGGTGGGCACATGATTTGGGTTTTATCTAAGTAAGAAAACAGATATAATCCATTTTATCTGAGCCATTTAAGCCTAAGAAACAGACATAAAGATGCATCTAGAACCTACCAAGACAGACACAGAATGGGCTCAAAGGAAAGGGAGTTCTGACCACCAGGTAGATATGCTCTGTATCCTTGCTGAGAGATTGTGCCTTTGGGAGAGAACAACAGAGCGAAGAAAGTGACTTGGCTTGGATGTTGGAACTGAATTACACATTAAGCCTGCCATTTGTTTGCTGGTGGCACATTTTTTGGGCAAGTACCTTAAGATTAGTGCCTCAATCTCTACCTGAGGGGTGAGGACAGCATGCCCACAGGGTAAAATGACAAAAGCATCCAGGCACAAAGCCTTGCATGACCTGGGCTTGTTGCCCACTTCTTGTTGGGAAGACTCCTCTCTCTCCTGTCTAATTTTGCCCCTTTGGCTCAGCAGCCTGTCTGCTTTGATTTCTATCCTGCACTGGCCAAGAACAGGGAAAGTAAGGGTCATTCTCTGAAACTTCAACAAAATAAAATTCCAGGCCCAAGAGAGACATGGCTAAGAACATCCATTTCCTTCTGTGAAGTCTTTGATCCAATTCCTGATTCAGAGGGGCTGCTGGCTCACAAGTCAGCTTTGCACCATGGCTGTGGTAAAGGAGTAGGGACAATGCAGAACCCTCCCTACCCAAGGTGCAGCTCCTTTCTATACTACCTGCAGAGCTCTCTCTCTGTTCTTCCTACCTCCAGCATCACCTCAGAATCAACAGTGAATTCCAGTCTTACCAAAACTGAGCAGAGAAACAAAACTCTCTAAATTGTGGTAGAATTTAGCTGATTCAGTTACAGTGAATTCTACCACATTTGCAGAGAATTTTTGATAACTGTTAAAGCAACTCTGCTCCCGGCCTCCAGTTAGGGAGCCAGGCTCTGCAACCTGATCTGGGATGACGGCCTCATCCCAAGGACCATTTCTAGCCTCACTCCCAGTGAGTCCTCAGTGGCTGGTAAAGCATCCCACAAGCACATGGCTGTGGTTTTATTACCTCGCATTCATCACCACACTCAGGAAGACATATTTTTATTATGCAGCACAGTTGCTACTGTAGGGTGAACTTTAACACAAAGCAGTTGGGTTCTTGACTGAATCAGCTAAAATAAAATTAAACAGAAAACAGATATGTGATGAGCTTCAGGTCTTTGTTTTAAAAATAGCTACCATCAAGAAAAGCAATTGGATGTGTAATTATAATAAATGACCATCTCTGAAGAGCAAGATTGCTTTTCTAAGGAAAAACAAATGGTGAGAACCAGAGCACACGAGTCCTGTGGAAATTTCTATCATTCTCCTCCCTGTTGATGAGATGTGAATATAGTCATTTGTCCCTGAGTATTTTCACCATTTGGGAATTTTCAAACATTTAAATGAAATACCCTAGATTTTCCCTTATGCTGGTAGCAGTTGTTTTACATGTTGAAGTTAAATGTTGCTTTTGGACACATGAGCATCCACATTTAGTTAATTGCCAAAGGTAAGGTTAGCATGTGCAGAACCCCAAAAGATGACTAGAGTGTGTGACTAGGGCAGATCCGTGCCATCTCCTCAGCCTCCTGCATTATAGAGGTCTCACAACTTACCTGCACCCTGGAGATCATTATGGTGAGGGTCTTTCTTTCGCTCATTAGTGGTTCTCACTCTTCTGAAGGGCACCCAGCACACAGGGCTTCCCTTGCCCCAGACACAGTGTGACTTGGGGGCAGAACTAACATCATTTTTCAGAATTAAGCTTTTATGCATGTATGAAAAATGATGTATGTGCTCAACCTACAAGGGCATAGATTAGGAAAGAGGAGCTCTGAGAAGGGGAGGAGATTCCTGGGAAGTGTGGGCTTTGGAAGGCTTTGCAGGGAGAAAGAGACTGGAGCCTGACCTTGAATGAGGCAAGGTTTTGATAGATAGGGTAAGTAATAGTGTGGACAGAGGGAAAGAGGTGTGCATAAGAGGAGGGAAGGCATCAGATGTGTTTGGGGACAACAAAGAAGTAAGATGCACTGCAGCCTTCTCTTATATTGGAGTGAGGGGGATTCTGAAGAGGATGCTCCAGGATGTCTTGTAAAAGTAGGCTAATGCTACTCCATTGACACAATAGATTTATTTCTCACTCATCTGACTATTCAGAGCATGGACCTGGGGCTACAATTTCATGGGTGACCCAGGGAACCAGGCTTTTTGTCTACTCCATTCAGCCAGCTCTCTAACCAGCAGAGAGAAAAAGTGGAGCATGCAGGCGCTGTGTGAGGAATTTCACAGGTCATCCTGTGAGCATGTTATACCATTCCTATCTTCTTCCTGTTGGTCAGAACTCAGGCACATAGTCATGCCCATGTGTAAAGCATTCTGGGAAATGTAGCATAGCTCTATTGAGGGAAAACAGAAAGCAGTGTGACCAGGACTGACTTCTGCACTGACTTTTAGCCCATTTGGGTTGGACTTTATCCTTAAGGCAGTGTGAAGCACCCTTAACTTCAGCAGGGTAGGGACAAGTTCACTGGTTGTGAAAGTGCCTTCAAGGGAGTGTCTTTTGTGTTCTGTATTCAAGAGCACATCCACATCAAATTTGCTGTAGATCTTCAGCCATATCTGAAAGAATAATGGGATGTTGGATGGGTGCCAGAAAGGAGTCCCGGACGCATGGAACCTTCCAGGAATTGAGGTTGGGAAGCCACTCAGTGCTGTTGTGACAATCTGATAGTGTAGTCGCAGTAGGAATTTGTTCATTTTTAGAAACAGAAATGTTTACTCCTGCTGTTTTAACTCTGTTAGCTTACTGTAAGCCACAGATGGTAGTTTAACCAGAATCCCTGGTGAGTTGGACTCACAGAAGCAGATTGAGAGCTATGACTGTGTTCCTAGGAAGGGCTTGGACTTTCTCTGGAGGCATTAATTGGAATGTAGCCTCAGGACCTGGGCTGTGCCACAGATTTGCAGCCCAAACAAAATAAAACTTGCCTCAACCAGAAAACCCAGACTGGAGTTCAAGTTACTTTAATGGACTCTTGGGAAACACAAACTGCAGTTGTATTGTGTTTGCAAAGTTTAACCTTTGACCTTATGGTAAGGAAAATTACTGTTGTACATATAATCTTTCACCAGCTTTTGAAAGTGTTGGACAAGCTAACTCTTTTGCAACTATGCAGTGTTTTTAAATTTTTAAATTTTAAAATATGCTTGGAAAATAGATACAGATCCAACAGGAGCAGAGAATGTCAGTGAAAAGAGTGTGCTTTCTGTGTGCCTCAGAGAATCCAGCACACAGGGAATCTTATGTGGCCTGGGCTACAGGGTTTTAGGAAGTTGTTGGCAGAGGAATTTGTTTCAAATGAAAACCCAAGGTCAGCATCACTTTGTCATTCCTCTGATACGATTTTTTTTGTTTTGTGTGTAAGCTGGGGCTGACTACAAGGATCAGCATGGACTCAGTTACCCACCTCTGAAGTCTAGGATGGACTCCTAACTTTAAGATCATAGGCTGGGACTTGGGGGAAGATTTTTAAATGATTCATGCTGATCTGAAATATTCCAAAAACAGCAGAAGAGCTGTTGGTGGTATTTTCAGGTATTCTTGACTGGTTTGGTGAAGAATCCAACATTAAAGAGGCTTAAAAATACCAAATGTTTAAAAAGAAGTATAACTTGCTCTCTTTTTCATTCCCCCCCCCCCCGCCAAAAGTAATCTGTGATAGTTAAAATGGCGAGAACAGGAAGGGAGAGCAGAAGCAGGTAGAGACTGCAGAGGCCGGAGGGTGGGGGTGGGGGTGGGAGCCCATACATTCTGAAGGCTGAGGCTGAGGTCCGCTGTTCCTGCAGAAAGCACAGGTGACTGTGTGAGAAAAGACCAGGATTTTCTTCTGATTTTAAAAATGCCTGAATGTGGATCTCCTTTCTTTTGGCCTGGGGTTTTTCCAGCCTTGAGTTTTTAATTTCCTTGTTCTCTTGAGATATAAATTATCCACTCCAGAACAAAGGGCCTGAAAGCACACTTTTTGGGTTCCAGCTCTTATCCCAGAGAGAACTAAAATTCTAACTGGCTAGTGACGTATTTACCAAATTCAGTGATTTTCTAAAAACAAACAAAACCTTTACTTATAAAATCCACAGCAACTTACACTGCGAGGAAGAGTTTTCATGATCCATGTTGCAAGGGAAAATTGCTTGGGACTGGAAAGTACTTTTCTTTTGCCCTTTTTCATCTGCCTGGCTTTCTGAGGAGGCATTCCACCTCACTGAGGCTGAAGAGCAGGTGTGCCTGGTGAGGAGGAAGAGGGGCATCTGCACCCATGCACTCCAGAGAGGAGGGGTGCGATGGGCTGAGGAAGAGGGGTGTGAGGTTAGGGAAGGGGAGGGAGAGCAGAGGCTGCAGGGACAGAAAGGGTGCAGAATGAGGGTGAGAAAGTAGGGAAGGTAGCTGAAGGCTCCAAAACTTCTCCCATAGGCCTTCAAGGCTCTGCCAGTTCTTCCAAATCAGTCATCAGGGCCTATGCTTAATTAATGGAGACAGATGTGGTTAGCGTGCTGAATCCAGGAGGAGGATTCTTATGAACACAGCTTTCAGGGCTTCTACTTTCAGCAGATTGGCCACTGCACTGGCTGGGGCACTGTTAGGCCATCCCAGGGACACTTGCCATCTGTGCAGAGTGGGGTCTTCCTGGAGGAGGCTGTCTGCAGGAGCTACATGGAGATGGGGGTGGAAAGAGGAGGAAAAGTCTCATGAAACACAGGGTTCCTTTGTGTGTGTGAGGTTGGGTGGGGAGAGAGGGAGGCCCTGTGGGGGTGGCCGACTCATCCTGGTTTGCATAAAATTTCCCTGGTGTGAGGATGGGAGTCTCAAATTCTAGGCAGAGGGAGAAGCTGGTTACCCTAAACCAGAGTGAGTCTTGAAAGGGACAAGATAAAGGCAGTTGGTGGCAGCTGAAGGGAGGTGACCCTGGCTGTGATCACTCTTGGGAGGCTGTCTGTTTGCAGCTGCAGTTTGCAGGGTCCACATGGATGGTCAAAGGCCACTTGAAGGAATCACTTGGACCTGGGCAGTTGCTCCAAGTACCTAAGGATATGGAGATTCCCATGATCCTGGGAAAGGGCCCTAGGTCTGTTCTGGATGTCTCAGTTGTGCAATCTGTACACACTGACTTTTCTAAATGTGCCTTTTTCTCTCTCTCTTTTCTTAGGGAGGCAGGACACAGTGCGTGAGAGAAGTCTGTCCCATTCTCTCTTGTCCCCAGCACCTTAGTCACACCCCCCCAGGACAGTGCTGCCCCAAATGTTTGGGTGAGTGACTATTTTCAGGTCAAAAAAGAATGAATTTCTTTGGGGAGTTTCTGCAGAAAGTGTGCATGCACACTGCTCCCTGGGGTTCCGAGGTGGCCCTGGTTCCTGGCTTACTAGAGACACCTGCTCCTTGAATCAAGAGAGTGGAAGGTGTGAACTGGATGTGGCCTCTTCTCTGGTCTTCCCTTGATTTGGAATCTGGGACACCAGGCTATATAAGACACTGCCCTGCAAGGAGAGCGGGGCTAAAGACACCTTCTGTAGTCTGCTTAAGGCTGTTAGTGGCATATGTGCTAGAGGCATTGGAAACGATGGCCTAGAAGGATGCAGACTCGGTTACCTGCAGGGGCCAAGGGTGCAGGCAGATGGCATACAGTGAAGAAGAGGCTTGTCAGGAAAGAGGGAGGAACAACAGGAAGTGTGTGGGCACTTTTTCTGACCACTAATTGTGTTCCAAGCACCAAACTGCACAGTACTGTGTGTGCTTTTTCTCATGCAGTCTTTTCAAGAAGCTGTGAAATACAGTTGCTGAGAATAAAACTCCTGTGTGCATAGAGGTGCTCTTATCAGTTTTATTGAAGCAGAGAGGAAGGGTCCCCTGAGCCTCTGGGGGTTCTTGGGTACAGATAGGGTCTTTAATTTCTTTCAGCTTTGTGCTCTGCCTGTGCTGTTCTCTTCTTGCTATTTTGTGTTTGTGAAACATCGTTTTGTCCCATCAGAGACCTCCACACCGCCAGTTTTTCCGTGTCCTGTGGTGCCCTTGCATCAAGGCTCGTTCAGCAGATTTCCTGGAGGTCTGCAGCTGGGGAGGGTGGTTATTCCCTGGAGAAGGAGGAGCAACACTGTAAAGCGGAGCACTGAGCTCCCTGTTCTCGGGAGGACTCAGTTACTGTGCCTTGGGCCTCCCACTGTCTCTTCCCTTTGGCTCCAGCCTCCTGTCTGCTAGGGCTCACACTTCCCTTCTCTCCTTTCTCCCAGTTTGCTTTCTCCACCTCCAAAGCCTCTTGCTGATTCACTTTTCTCATCCACAAGATTCCCACAGCCAGACTCTGAAGTCTGTTTGCTTTTTATAACCAGATTGGCAAGTAAAGGTATCTTGTTAAATTGCCACAGTTTTCTCCTCTCTGATGAATTTTAATATACTTTTGTTTGCATTATTTTGTTTTTCTTTTCAGACCGTCTTGCTATGTTGTTCGGGCTGGCCTTGAACTATATAACCTAGACTGACATTGAATTCCATTAATCCTCTTACCTCAGGTTCTTAAGGCCTGGGGTTCTGTGATACACACCATCATATCCAGCTTCTATTATATTTTCATCGAACAATGTTTTCTGTTATACATACACATATGTTGGGCATATTTGATTAAAGATATTTCCATGAATGATTTGTTTACCACTCATGTGCACTTATGGCCCTGGAATGTGATGAGCCCCTTCAGTGTGGCAGGGATAACCATGTCATGGGCCGTGGAGATGCAGTGCTCCTTCTTCTGGGGCAGCCATCACAGAAGGGATTTGGACCTGACCCTAAGGATAAGCACGCTTGATTAATGCTTTGAAGTTGATGCCATGGATGTGATGAGTCTGCTTAGAAGCTTCCCACTTGAGCAATGGCTGTTGTGTTGAATGCATGTTTTTCTGATCATTTGTGGTTTTAAGACAGACTATAAAAGGAAGAGTAAGTTTTGGGAAACTTTGAAAACCATACTTCCTCCAAGTAAGACCTTCTTTGCTTGGGCAAAACTGCAGAGGGAAGATGTGGAAGTGGCTTAGCCCAGGCAATCCTCCCCGTCTTGGAACCACTCCTTTAAGTGTTTTGTCTTAAATTGGGCCGTGATGACTTTGGGATTAAGTGAAGATTTTGTGTTCTTTGGTCATAAAAAGGAACATATTCACACACAAGAAGACAGACAAACAGAAAAAAAAAAATACCAGGGTGTGTCTTAGATGCTTAAATCTTAGTCTAGTCAGACTTTTAGCTGTCTGGGCACCGATTTGCTTTTACATTTTCCCTTAACCAGGATTCCTTCCCACGACATACCTCAGCCTTTTGCTTTATAAATTCCTTGCTTGCTTTCCTCCTTTCCAAAGCAGAGTCTCATCAGACATCAGCACGCACAGAGCAGTGCCCAGCACCCTTCCCAGGGAGACACAGCCCAGGACCACATTTGAATTATGTCAGCACTGGTAATGATAATGGTCACCACCTGCCATGCATTGGTGGTGTTGGTGAATGCCGGGCGCTGCTCCAAGAACTTTGTAGCCATAATTTTAGGTAAAACTTAACAGTTTAGCAAGGGATAAGTTAAGTCATTGGTCACATTTGTTCACGGGTATTAAAATTCAAAGGAATTGTTTCATTTATCAATTAATGAATCAGTCAGTTGATAGGTCAGTCCTGTCATCTACCCATCATCCGCCCATCCATTCATCCAACCAACTGTCCACCTATGCAAAATACCGAGTTCAGTGAAAATGGTAGAAGAACAAGCTGTGGGAAAGGAGTAAAGGGCCATTCTGTCTATAGGAGAAAGCGTTCTGGAGAGGAAATGCGGACCTCAGCCATGAAAGAGATGTATTTTGATTGGTAGAGATGAAAGTTTTTATATAGAGCTTTGTATCCATTTATCTCTTGTCTTTGCTAAAAAGGATTTGAGGTAACTTACAAAACACCTGAAGCACATGTAGATAAAACATGGAACAAAGGCACATGAGGTTATTACAGCTTTAAGTAAATTGCTTAACTGAGGCAAAGCTGTTTTTACATCTTACAGGAAAGAAATATATTTCAGATGGAGTTTTAAAGGAGCATCATGTTTAAATTAGTGAAAAATTACTTCACCCTCGTTTTTACAATAAATAAAAGAAAAACTATATAGTGTTATCTCATGCACTATAATGTCTTAAAAATAAGGTGAGATTTGGCGGTAGTGATTATAACAGGATGGGCCAAATAAATCCATGTCATTTAGGCTGCACACAGCTTTCTGATACTTTATAATAATCCTAGATGGGTTCCCTAGAGGAATATTCAGGGAAATATCTTGTGTAGTCTTAAGTTCTCAGAAAATTCAATAGACTTGGGACTAAGGTACACATAATACTCAAAGTGATTGAAAAGTATGGTGAATGCTTAATTTAAAACATTTCTTACAGGAAAGAACATATTACAATGAATCCTCCTCAAAATGCTCTCCTTTGTTTCAAACACACTTATCCCATCATGTTTGTCACTTTCTGAAGCATTTCTGGAAGTCATCTTTCATGTGTCTTTAGTTAGGCTGTCATAATTGCCTGAATTAATTGCAAATAATTTCCTTCCATGGTACTTTTGACTTGGGGGAAGAACTAGAATTGGCTTGATGTCATATCTGCTGAATAAATGGATGATGACAACCTGTCATGTTTTTATGAGCCTGACTTTCTGTTGGACAGCACTTGGCAGCAACATTCATTGTACTTTTCACACTTGTGAAGATATTCATGAAAGAGGGCTTCCAGAACTGCTTCAGAAAGTTGCAAGAGCAGTGGGATAAGTGTGTTCAAAGCAAGGGAGAGGATTTTGAGGGGGATTAATGGCAATGTGTCTTTTACTATAGTAAATTTTTAAAACATTCACTATACCTATATTTCAAGAATACTAATTGCCCATGTTACTTGGAACATTAACAACCTGGATCCTAAATGTTCTTACTAGTAAAGAATGTTTTGTTATACAACTTAATATTAATGCCACCAACAGAAGTGCTGATATGACACATTGACTCTGTTGATGCCATTTTATGAGTAAAGTTAGCAAGGCACAGAGAAATCTTACTCAGGTCACAAAGGAGTCCGCCTGTGGGACCCAAATTACAACTCACGTCACCTTTTGAGGACTAACAAGATTATTCTCTGTAATGAGAGCCAAACTAGTGATTTAGTTCTGCATTTCTACTGTATTCTGAGCTGCAAGCTTACTCTGGTAAGAAAATAATATTTTTTATTGACTCTTACTGTGGTATTTCAGTAACTCTGATTCTAAGAAGAGCGCTTTGTGTGTGTTTATAAGTATTTCCAGCATTTCACTGGGCTTGCTGGTAAATCAAGATTGCTATTAATTTTTTTTCAGGAAGAGAAGAAGATTACAGGTATAAATATGATCGATCAGTAAACATGAATCACTGGTTTCTTAACTTAGTTTTTAATTAAAGTAATCCTCTAGGGATGACTTGATGTGCTTCAGGGAGTAGAAACTCAATCTTGAAAGAAAGGAAGGGATTGGATTTTGCTCTGTATTTGGGTTTTGCTTTCTTGGAATTTCCAGTTGTCAGTTCAGTCCTTATAATGGGAAACTGGGTTAATTCTACAGAGATATGACACCTCTAAAAGGTTGGACACTTGGCGTGTGGAGTTGGATTCTGCCTCTGTGCCATTTGAGTTAGCTGCACCCTTTTATTCCTTTTATTTTTTTTTCTTCAGCACTCAGGATTAAACACAGGGCTTTTGCACTCAGCTACATCCCAACCCTTTTTTTTTTTTTAATTTAATTTAATTTAATTTAATTTAATTTTATTTTATTTTATTTTATGACAAAGTCTTACTAAGTCACTAAGTGGGCTAGGCTCAAACTTGAAATCCTCCTGCCTTGATCCTTCAGATGCTAGCCTTTATGTAATTTTTGTGTGAATCAACTCAGTGTGCTATAATGAAATGGCGTAAGTGGGTAGCTTTTAAACAATAGAAATTGTTTCTCATCGTTCTGCAGGTGGGAAGTCCAAGATCAAATTGGTTGTAGATTCTGCATTTGGTGAAGGTCTGATTTCTAGCTCATAGATAGCATCTTCTTGCTGTGACATCCCATGATAGAAGGGGCCAGGGCTTTGTCTCAGGCTTCTTTTACCAAAGTGCTGTTAGGGTTTATATCTAGATGTCTCCCCAAAGCCTTATGAGGTCATAGGTGGGGCTTTTTATCTAGAGTGTGTGAGGCTGGAATTAAGGATGTACAATAACTAAATCAGTCCACTGATTGATTGGTTTGGCACCACCCTCGTAGCCTAGATAGAATATACAAGGGTCAGAAAAAATCTGCTAAGGTCCGCCCTCCTTTGCTTTGCTACCTTCTGCCTGCCATGAATGTCTTTCCTCTGTGAGGCCTCTTTGCCATGCCACCGTGCCTGAAAGTCAGCCAATTATGGACTGAAACCTCTGCAAACTGTGAGCCAAATAAACCTTTTCCCCTTTAGCTTTGGGTGTTGGGTATTTTGTCTCAGCAATGACAAAAGCAGCTAAGACAAACAACACCCCCTCATGACTGCACCGTCTCTCCAAGTCCCCATCTCCTAGAGCTGTCACATTGGCAATTAGGTTTTAGTGTATGAAACCCTAACAGTGCTTTTGTAAAAGAAGCCTGAGACAGAGTGCTGGCCCTTCTATCACGTGAGGTCACACATGTGTAGATGATTGCAGATGCTGTTTCATTCGTTCCTTTTGCTCATTCTAGTCCTTGAGGTTTCCTGACTCCTTTTGTCTCCACTCGTCCTCCCACTTCTACCCACTTTAGGGGATGATTAAACAAGTGTTTAAAATGCACATTAGGTATCCCAGCCGCTAGAAGTCTTCTGTGACTTTTCTGTCCCCACACTTCCATGTTGGTTTCTTCCCAGAGCTTAACCTGTCATTGTATCAATATGACCTCTGTGGGTTTGTCTGCACAGTGGACTGTGAGCCCCATGCAGGCCCTTATGTCTAAGACGTCATGGTTCGCTATGATGGATGTGTGTGTAGTCATGATTTGTTGAACTTCCAGGTTTACGTGGAAACAAACTCTTTTAAACAATGACTCTAAATCAATGATCCCTGGGGATCTTCTGGCACATCTGGCTCAAGGCTCTCTTTTTGTGCACCAGACTTACCTGCTCTTGGGAGGTTCCTTAACAACCCGTGCTACAATTGTTGATGACAAAATAGGACATCCCTGGCTTCCATCTCTCTCATGCTGTGCTGTTGCTTCCCTCTAGGTCAGAGGAAAGTGTTTGACCTGCCCTATGGGAGCTGCCTCTTTCGCAGTGATGTGTATGATGATGGGTCCTCATTTTTCTTTGACAACTGCACAACGTGTACCTGCAAGGTGAGGTGGTGTAGAGGGGCTGTGGCACACACCCTACCTAGAGGGTGAGGGTGTCAGGATTATTAGTCAGCAGCAATGCTGTTTATTTATCAGACGCAGGCATCAGTGGTGCCACTTCACAAGTGAAGTCACCCTCAAGGTCACCAAGAAGTTCATGTGTGACACCTATTATTCAGATCATCCTCTGGGAACACACATGGTGACTCCTCCCAGTGGGAGCCACATTCTGAAAATTGTTCTGAGAATTCCCCAAGCCAGCCACATATGTATGGTCATGTTTTCTGGCTCCAATACCCCGTGTGAATTGTCAAACACACCAGTAAGTTACAGTGACTTTAATCGTATTGAGAGGAAAAGATAGGCATGGATTTATGGTTCAAGCTGAGCCTGGCAGTTGGGGAAGAGAGTGTTTATGTGTTGCTCATTGTTCCGTATCTTCCTGGAGCCGTGGTTTCCTTTTCTCCAAAGGCAGCTGGTGGTGTAATTCGTGGTACAGAAAAGAATTCCACAGCCCCAGAGATTCAGAGGGTCACATCACACATGCACAGACATCCTTATGATGTAAACTATATGTGAGACCAGGAAGAGAAGCATTTACTATGGAGGGCTTTGGTATCTTTGCTACATAACTTGAACATCTGGGGGACCCAATTTTAAAATAACTTATTTTATTGGTGGTGGGTGTTGTTGCTTTGTTTTTGGTAGTTAAAGGGCTAGAGAGAGAGAGAGAGAGAGAGAGAGAGAGAGAGAGAGAGAGAGGTGTGTAGATGTGAAGACCAACTAGGAGACCTACAGTGACAGACATATTATTCCAGAGTTAACAAGTGCCTGTTGTTCAAACTAGACACCAAGACATGCAGTTTGAGAATGGATAATGCTTTTACAATTACTGAGTTGATTTTTAGTAGTTCCTATGTACCATGTACTTTATGTTTGAAATGCACAGTAAATCAGAGAGCTGATAAGCAAAATCAACAGCACCAAACACCTTAAGTAATAGATCTGGCCCTGTCACTCTCTAGAGGTTAAATGGCCTGGTCAAGGTCATGTCTCTCACTGCAGAGTTCTAGAACTTAGGCCCAGTTTTGAGACTGCTCACTCAGTTCCTTTACAAACACAGCACACACAGGGGCAGTGTCACCTAGGGTGACATGTTAGCTCTGAATTGATGCTCTTTGAACAAAGACGTCTGCCTTTCCATGAAACTTATAAAGGTGGCATGAAGACAAGGCAGAAAACCAGGAGAGCTTTGTTAAAGAAGAATGTGGAGGAGGAGAAGGACAGGAAGAAGGAAATGTTTTGGTGTGCAGTGAGTGGGGCTTCCTTGCCACTCACTGGCTGGAGGGGACTGGTCTCTTCAGCGTGGAGTTGTAAACCACTGCAAGGTGGGGAATGTGTGCCTGCTGCCCTCAGGCACTAGAATCCCCCACAATCTACAGCAGATGCTGAGCAACAGGTAACATTTTGAAGAGAGTAAAAGTTTTATTTCAAAACATTAAAATATAGCCGTGTCTTAGTTACTTTCCTCATTGCTGAGACAAAATAGCTGACACTCAAAGTTAAGGGAAGAAAGTTTTATTTAGATCACAATACATAATGGGTTAGCTCCAAGAGAGGGTGGCAATGACAGAGGAGCAAATGTTCATGGTGGTGGAAGACAGCAAAAGCAGCAAGAGAGTGAGACAAGACCCTTTCTCTTATATTGTATGTAGGTTATCCACCCTAGGATGGGTGTATCACTCACACCCTCAATCTCTGCATTGGACCATGAATCCATCACAAACTCTAGATTGCACAGCCTCTTAAAAATCTGCCCCCCATGACTACATGAGGCTTTGTGGAGACATGTAGACACAAACCATAAGAATCACCTATAAATTTTAGAGGAGTTATATGTGGGTTATTGAAGGAAGGCCAGGTAGAACACCTGGTCTACCTCAAGAAAGTCATCTTTAATTTTCTGTCTACCTTTGGATCCCCAGGACTCCACTGTGGTGTGTAAGAAGAAGTGCTCCCACCCCAGCAGTTGTGACAGAGGCCAGGAGGCCTGTTGTGAGCAGTGCCTCTTGCGAGTGCCCCCAGAAGACATCAGCATGTGCAAGTTTGGCAACAAGATTTTCCGGGTATGTCACAGGTCAAACTTATGGGCACTATTGCCCAGTGCTGACTGTTAAACAGGTCCACAGTAATGCAAGTTGGAAAGCTCTACAATCTATGTGTATGTGCACATGTGAATGCATTGTGTGTATCTTATACGTTCATGTGTATTGCAGTATTATATATTTAGAATTAAGTAAGGACATATGGGACGGTGAGGTAACTTTTGAAAAGTGTTTATCTTTGGCTTTGTTGCTGGTAGAACAACCAGTCCTGCACTGCACAGTTGCCCCCAGTGTTGTGAGCACCCACTGTCAGGAGCATCTCATTCAGGTGGAGCTGCTCAGGTACAGAGTGATTCCCTCCATCCTTGAGGAAAACAGCCTGGATAGGAGATAGGAGAATACTAGAACAAAGCCCAAGACCTGCATCTGGAGTGTAATGGCCACTGCTTGCCAAGATGACCCCCACATCAAGATCCTGATGGAGCTCAGCTTGCTGTATTTACAAGCTTTTTTAAAAGTCCCTTTTCCAAGTGAAATTTTCTCCTCTGGATGGAGAGGTCTGTCCTAGTGCAAGTGGCCAAACATAGTGGTCCACAGAGGTGAGAGGATGCTGCCCCAGTTAAAGTGACAGGTTGTCTGCTGGCATCTGGCCAGCTGAGAATGTGTGATTTTAAGTATTTCTCGGTGGTCACAGTGGGACCATTACACTTCAGATGTGGGTCTTGGTCTTTGTTCTAGTATTCTCCCATCTCCTATCCAGGTTGTCTTCCTCAAGGATGGAGGGAATCACTCTGTACCCAAAGATGTCACTTCATGTTACCCTTGGGAACTGAGACCTCAGAACCAGCTCAGTTGTGGAAGCTTCTTGGGCCAGACTGCCTGGTCACCAACACAGCTAGAAGAGAGGCCATGGTTCTAAAGTTCTCTGAGAAGCCGTGATGTGTTCTGCCCATTGAGGGCCATGTGTGTGTGTTGTGTTTACATCAGCTTTCAGGACCACTCATTGTCCTGTACACAAAGTTACCTTTGCCTCTAGAGCATGGAGATAAAGTGGATGCCCTCTCACGATGGGGTTTTGTGCAGAGTGCTTTCAAATCTTGTAAACACACCTCTTTAGGTGACTGCAGCCTGAAATAATGGACAGAGACACTGAGTCTGCAGAAAAGTGTTCTTTAAGTCAAGTTGAGTCAGTTGTTTTCATCTGAAAGGCACCAGAGGGCAGGCAGTCCTTAACATAGCTTCAGAAGTAAAGAACAGGAGGAGTCAACAAAGATGGAGACTTGTTTCTCTGGATCCACAAGCCCTGGAAGGAGTCTTCATTGTGTTTTAGGCCCAATTCTGTGGCCTGTGATCTTAGATCACAAGTATGGATGTCATCTCTGACTGTTCTGTTCTGGCTGGACTCTGGGCAGTTGCTGATCATAAATCCAGTGGGCCAAAGTAATTCCTCAAGTGTCTCTTTCTCTGTGAGCAAGGAAATGTGTACTCAAATGCTACTCTGCATTATGGAGGAGGGTGCTGGCAGGACAGGGACAAGCTGTGTATGGCCAGTGGTGTCTTCTGTCTGTGCTCTACACTGTCATATGCCCCCTTTGCATGTCCAGAACTATGGCTCATCTGGGAACAAACCAACTGCCTTTGGCCATCCCAGTTAACTCCTGCTACCTGAGATAACAACCATTTCAGTCCTATCAAACGGAGGGAAATTAGAATCTTGTTAATGTATCATGTATGAAAATTCATACTTGCTGTCATGAGGAGGAAGATGAAATGTGACCTGGTTAGACACGCAGGAATGCTTTTCTATCCTGGAGGGAGAGAACCCACACCCACCCTAAAATCCTCTCTCATCTTTGATATTATGAGGTATGATTAAAAAATACAGTAAATGTTTAAACAAACAAAAAAATTACAATGATAAAAGACACATTCCCAGGAATACCTTTCAAAATACTCCCCTCACTTTGCGTATACTCATCCTAACATCCTTATTCCTGGCAGTCCTCTTTTCTAAGTGTCGTTAGCTGCACTATTGTCTCTGCCTCTATGTTCTCAGTCCATTCAGAACATTGATCTTTCACAGTCATTTTGATTTTGGGGAAGAGCCAGAAGTTGCATGGTGCCAGATGCAGTGACTAAGGTGGATGAGGACAAACCATTTTGTGTGAGCCCATCTTTCAATTGGATGGCACTCACCTGCAGCATTCACTGTATTTTTGTGTATTTTTTATCACACCCCCTAAAGATACCCAGGAAAGAAGACTTCAGAACTGCTTCAGAAACTGACAGGAAGGATGGGATAAGTGTGTTGGAATTGAGGGGGACAATTTTAAGTGGAATTCATGGAAATGTTTCTTTTACTGTAATCAATTTTTTATAATTTAAACATTCAGCTTATATTGCTATCATACCTTCGATATATGAAAATTCAGACACATTATGTCTAAGGATGCATTTCCTGACTCAGGGTGAGACATGTGTTCCCTACGGAGCAGTCCCACCCACTGGCCCAGCTCCCACAGAACCCTGTGCTCTGTTCCACAGGAGGGTGAGGTGTGGTCCATGGCCAACTGCACCATCTGTGCCTGTGTGACTGGCAGGACGGAGTGTCGCAGGAAGCGGTGTGTGCCCATCAGCAGCTGCCCGCAGGTATGTCTGGACATTGGTTGCCTTCTCTTCACCTTAGCGCCTTGGGAAGCATCCTGTGTAAATGTGGTTGCTTGCCATCTTCTGAATGCAGAAGCCAGATCTGGCAAGGCCTTCACATTTCCAGGTAGCCAAGACCCCAGCAAAGCTTCCTCCTTCTGCCCAGCCTCACCTCATGGAAACAGTTCCGGCCAGTTCTTGACCCAGCTCCTTGATGTCTTACTGGCTTCTCCCAGTTCCTTGTATAAAACCTCTCCAACTCTGCTTAGACCTGTTCCCCTGCTTTCTTTTGCTGCATTTTCTGCTTAATGTCCTAACTATCTTTGGCCTTTTCCTTCCTAATCTCCCTTCTCAAATCATAGGTTTCTTCTCATCAACAGAACTAACAAATTCTTCAAGAAGTTTGTCCTGCCTAGCAGCCAGGGGTCTTTGCTCAAGTTCTCTCACTACCCTGGCCCCAGATGGAAAAAGATAGACAGCTTTTAATTTCATTCACGCCTGGTATTATGATATACAAAAAGTTGTTTTTATTTCAGTGCCAAAGGAGGTACAAGAAAACAACAGCTGCTGCCCTTGTACAGCTGAATAAAGAGGGGAGAGAAGATGGCAAAAACTCTACTCTTCCTTTAAACAGCCTCAGACAGACAACTGAAACCCTCCTATAAAAAAAGGAGGAGATGTGATAAGTAGACTTGAACAGGAGATGCTTACAAATATTCATTGGGGGGAAGGGGTTCACATCATTTATGCCATCCTCAGGAGGCCCTTCCTCCAATGAGTCTCTCAACACACGTTAGTAATCTTGTCTTCCTTCTCCGGCAAGACACAAACAGGGGCTGAGCCAACCCAGTGGCTCAAGCAGCTCACCTGCTGGGCCTAGTGTGGCCTCCAGCTCCACTTGGAGCAAGGTCAGTGGTTATCACTGTCCTCTTGGTGCAGGGGGGGTATGTTAGTTACTTTTCTGTCATTGCCAAGACAAAATACCAGACACCCAAAGTTGGAGGGGGAAAGGTTTATTTAGCTCACGATTTCTAGATGTTTCAGTCCATAATTGGCTGGCTCCAAGGGTGAGTGGCTTCACAGAAGAGATCAGTCCATGGCAGGTAGAAGACAGCAAAAGCAAGCAAGAGAGGGAGACAAGACTCTTTTTGTCTTTTATGTTGTGTGCAGGCTACCTGCCCCAGGGCAGGTTAGCACTTACACCCTTAATCCTTGCTCTGGAGACTAGTATCGCACCATGAATCAATTCTTGCTTCAACATTAGATCTAGCCACCTCTGAAAAGCCCCACTTATGACTGCATGAGGCTTTTGGGGGACATCTAGATACAAACTATAACAAAGCACAATGTTCTTTGTGTCATCATCATCTCATGAGTGGTCCTTGTTCTAGGACCACATTTGAGCTCCCTGCCAAGCCCTTTCCCAGTCCCTTCCTCTGCACCTTGCCAAGCTTCTTAGCATTCTAAGCAGGCTGCAGCCATAGAGATCACTTTTCTGTTCCTACATGTCTTTCCAGCAGGTCCTCCCCTTCCCACTTCCCTTCTTGGAGGCCAGTAGAAGGCTGTGGAAGGTGGCTTAGCCTCCCATGGGAATCCTTTGCACTCACCTGTCCTCTCCAACATCACCTGGGAGAATTGAAAAAGCTAAAGTGACATAAAGAGCATCTTTATGTTTCCTGCTCTGTCCTTCTTGGCCACCACACAGCTCTTTTACAGAAGTCTAAGTGTCTTGCTGAAGAAGGATTTAATGTGGGATTCTCTGCCTGCCCGCACTGGCAACTCCACAGGGACAAAGGAGAAGGCTTGTGAGAAGGGCTGCCAGGTTTCCAGTAGGGACTGGGTCAGGTCATCTCAACACTGTCCTCTCAGTGCCACTGATGTGTACTGAGGCTTTCTCTGTGGTCCCAGTACTGATCACACTTAACTCTGAGACCTCCTGAGGTGGGGGCTGTGAGCACTCCTCTTCCACAGGGGGCTGCATGGTGTCCAGACCTTCACAGCCAGTGACATGGAGCTGGGCTCTCTGGCTTCACACATTGCTATTGGTTTATTTCCCACCTGACTTCATGACATGACCTGCACTACGTTCTTTCCCCAAGAAAGGACATATCAGTTTCTGCCTCCATGTAGATGTATGGAATCAAGCCACATTGGGATCCAGACTTGGTGTTAAACCTCTTTGCTCCATCGGGATAGAAAGGATTGCTCTGTCCTCCTGGGCCGTCATTCTAGGGGCTGAGCTGATCCATCTGGCTTTGTCCCCAGCTGCTTCCAGTTATGACAAATTAAAGGAGGCTGCATGCCAGACAGAAACAGATAGCAGAGCTGTGGGAAATGAAAAGGTGTCCCGATGCCCCCAAGCCATGGCATGGCTGAGTGGGGCTGAGTTTGAAGTCTCATTCAAAGTTGCCATGGCGTTTAATGTGTCCTAGCTGGAAACAGAATGAGATGCAAGAAAACAGAATGAGACCTGGTTCTGGTTCTGTAATAATCACCCAGCCTTTTTAAAGTCAATATATTTGTTTATTTTTAAAATACCTATGTCTGTTCTGATGCAACTCTCTTCAGTTAGTGAGCAGTTTCTGACCTGTGTGTCCTTGTCACGGGCCATGCGTGACTTCTCTGTGGCCCTGTTTCCTTGGTTCCTGTAAACCCTCCATCTGGAGGGTAGTGGGGTTTAAATGAGTTACAGTGTGGGGAGTGTATAATGTGGGACAGAAAATTAGTGTTCAATTCTCTTAAGATAAAGGACGATGGAGGATGGAAATCCACAGTGTGAAGAACACAGCCAGGTTTAACTCTAGGTTCCACCTCCTCTGTTGCATCTACAACACATCAGTTTATCATCTTCAAGAGGGTAAATGCCCAGCTCATATGGTTCTCCTGCTTCTTAACAATGGCTGTAATAATCTCTCACATCCTTAACTCTGATATAGCTAACTCCGCACACCCCTGCAACTAATCCAATGTTATGTGATGTACGTGAGGGATCTATAGGACATCTATGACAGAGAAAGTGCTCCATAAATGCTGATCTTCTTCCATGTTCCTTTCCCCTGTGATTAACCGCTGAGTCAGACATGAAACAAAGTTGTCCTCTGGGCCCTGAGAATGTGCTTGCTCTTCTAAATTTCATGCAGTAAAAACATGAAAAGTTGCACAATGAGGGGAAATTGCACCAAATTTCCAGAAAGTGATAGAAATCACTTACTGTTTCCAAGCCCTTAGCCTCTTTGACTCAGCGCTATTGGCATCCTAGTGATTTGACATGGGTAAGACACCACTTTCTGCAAGAAGGACTCTGAGAAAGCTTGACCCGCAATACACCCATGTCTGCAGGATGCATGAGCCCTAAAATGGAATTGCAGTTCCTTGTTTGGGCTCCTCCTGAAACAGAGGAGAAAGGCCCTGCTGGACTAGCAGGTTGGAAGGTAGAGCCAGCTGTGTGTGTGCCCTGCATGTCTGGGAGGGGACTGAAACTTGGCACCTGCAAGGCCTGTAGAACTCACACTTCTCCAAGGACAGAAACAGGAAGGCCTTCAGAATAACAAGACCTGGCCTCAGAACCCCGTACCTGAAACCTCATTTTACCATCATTAGCACCTTCTGGGTGCTGAGTTCAAATGCAGCTTGGCCTGATTTCCTTGGTTTATCTGATATTAGATTTGAAAAAAAAAAGAGCTTTGTCCTCAGCAGACTTTGTTTTTAACATTAATTCTGTATCTGTTTTTCTCCTGATTAGGGTAAAATTCTCAACAGAAAAGGATGCTGCCCGATTTGCACTGAAAGTAAGTTCATTGCTTTGAAGATGTGCTGTTGGTATTTGTTTGGCAGTTTGTGGTGCGGTAAGGAAACTCGTGGTGTCATTTTCTGCACACTTTAATTCTGTGGGCCTAGGGTGGAGTCACCCTTCCTCCCTACAGACACATTAATCAGACATAATCCTGTCACAGAAGTCCAATTGAGAAAAATGTGGATTTTGCATCATAACTTATTGCTATGAGAATCAAGAAGATAAATGATCTGGTGAGGTTTTAGAAAGGGCCAGATAACATAATGTGCATTTTAACTGCTAATAGCATTTGCAGTCATAGCCGCTAAGATAATGACATCCAGGAACACAAGAAAGCCGTAATCGAGGAGGGATTCTCCATCTCTCAAGATGAAACCACACAGCTGTGCTTTCTCCCTCAGCCCAACCCCTGCTGTTCACTCCTTTGCCTGGGCGCTGCCAGGGTGGCTTTTGTGAGAGGTCTCAGAGGTCATTGACTCACAACAGCATTGAAATCCTGTGACTTTTAACTGAGGTCTTGGAGCTTCTTTCTGCATGTGCCCTGTTCTGGAAGCCTGCTGAGACTACACAAGCACGGGACTGCACAACGCCAGGGCCAGTTATGGCAACGGATTTCCCATCAGATGAACATAAACATATCTGCATATCACCTTCTCAGTCCTCCTCAAATGCGTATGGTGTTGAGATAGCTTTCTGAAGTATTTCATTGAAAGAGGGTGTTGGTACTGCTCTGTCAGATTAGCTCTGTGTATGCTAAGCAAGATTAACAAAGCCAGGAAACCTATTAGGAAGTATCTTTCAAGGCTATCAGGATGTGAGGAGTGGGCTTCATGGCAGAAGATACCAGTGTTCCTGGGGACAGGCTTGTCCCTTTCATGTATCTAACATCAGAGTTTCTATTTCTAACAGTAATCTCAGGGTCTTGTTTAGCTTTGTTATTTGAACTGTTATACTTTTGGACAGTAGGTATGGAGGATCATTTTATATATATCTAAAACATATATTGATATGTATTTATATTGCTATCACCTATTATATAGCTACCATGTATTAACTATTTTAGAGACAGAGCCATGAAACAGTTATACACTGGAGAAGAGTGCTGGTTGAGTTAACAAAAATAAATTATAGACTTACTAAAAAGATTTTGCTTTGAAGATAATGAAGTACATAAAGTAACTTGAAGGAGGCTATAAGTATGATTTAATAGAGTTCAAAAGCTAATGCAGAAGAATTTGCTGTGGTTAACATACTAGTTGATTTAAAGTAATGTGTATAAACTGTAACATTTAAATGTCCTACCAGAGTGTCTCTAAAGAAAAAAGGGGCTTTTTATTTGTATAAGTATTAGGAATTGAACTCAAAAGGTGGTGGTAAGCCTATGGCACATGTGCCATAGCAGGCTGTTTGTTATCATTGAAACCTTTAAAAGATTTGCAATCACTGAACCTACGGCTTTTGCATAGAGCTACATTCTCAGCCCCTTTCCACTTACTTTTTATTTTGAGACAGGGTCCTGTGAAGTTTCTGAGTTGCTCAGGTTGGGGCTAAACTTGTAGTCCTCCTGCCTCATCCTCCCAGGGAGCTGGGATCACAGGCATGCACCACCATGCTTGGTTCACAATGCATTCTGGTAGACTTGTTGGGATGCCTCCAGACCTCCTACTTTGAAATTCTTTTTGTCATTTTATCCAGGATCGAGAACAAATATTTAGGCTCATTTTCCCTCCTCTGTCAATTATGAAAGCTCTTCAGCTATGCAGATTTTTAGGATAGACTGAGCCTATAAAGCAAGCCTTGTATTTTCCAAAACCAGAAAAAATTATTTAATTTTTATTAAAACACGAATACATGAATGCACTCTCTCTCTTTCTCTGTCTCTCTCTCTCTCACACACACACA